CCACTGTGCACCGGCCCCTTACGGATCCTCCTGCAGGTGGTGGGCCCATGGGAAGACGTCCCCACGTCACTCGTTCGGGCTAAGCCCGGCTGGGCCCCATGAGGGGAGGCCTGGCCCCCAGGCGCTTGCATTCGAGCCCCAACCCCGTGCCTGGCTCCATGCCGGGCGATGTCACGGTCCTTGATTTTAGAGAACAGACTTCAGATCAGGATAAACATGTTGGACATTCCAACAACTGAAACACTGTCTGAGCCATTTGTCCTTCATCAAAGAGGCCATGACCTTTAACCGCACTATCAAATGAACATGAAGCAGTTCCCAGTCTCCCCACAGCCGACTCGGGTTTCATATCGTCCTTTATCTACACAATGGGAGTGGCCTAACCTCAGTAAGCTGCTGGAAATACCTGTTCAGCTGGAACAAATACTGTTCCACCATTTAACATAAAATCTTTCAACATTTATTGTTTGTGGTAAAATGCATCTACACTCAAAGCAGGTGGTGTCGCTTAAACGGTTCATATCTTTCATGTTATGTTGGAAGCATGTTTAATTCAGTGCTTGTCCTGAACATTTGCAGTAGCACCACAGCTCTTGTGTTCATCAACATAGCAGCATTACTAGAATTTGTCCTGAGGGGAGATGATCATTCCAGCCAACAGGTGCTGGGATGTTTCACTCAAAACCTCAGATGATATGATGGTACAAAAGGAAATGTTAGGGCATTGTTAAGTTTTCAGGATTTATCTTCTGTCTTTGCAAAGGTTCGTGGGAATCAGACAGATATTTCAGTCTGGACCAGCATGGTACCAGACCGTCTATAAAAGCCACACACCACTTCAGCCTCTCTACACATGCTGAATCACTGTTTGCTTGTGTTGTTATAGGTCTCTCCTTAAAGGCTGCAGCAGCTGCAGGGACATGGCCAGAAGAAGGCATCACTCCCCCTGCAGAGTGAACACAGCAGCCTCACCTGAACTGTCAAGCACAAAATGACTCAGAGAAATGGGATCAGGGGGACGAGGGATCGCCACCTCTACTCTGAGGCCTCGGGGGTTAGCGAGCAGGTCAACGGTATGGAGCCAGAGAAAGTTCAGGAGATCAGCGACTGTGAAATGGAGGAGGGGGGACAGGCAGGCGACTCCATGGCTGTAACAGGAGCAGTCACAGCTCCAGATGGCGGTTGGGGCTGGGTGGTGCTGGCTGCCACCATCCTAGTCCTGGCTCTGACCCTGGGGTTCCCCTCCTGTGTGGGAATCTACTACACTGACCTACAGAATGAGTTCCACGCCTCCAACAGTGAAACCTCTTGGGTTCCTTCAATCATGACATCGGTGCTTCATGCAGGAGGTAAAGTAGGCGACGTGTCCTGAAGTCCTCACTTTGCTGTACAGATCTCTTAGCCAGTAGAATCAGTATTATCTCCCTTCCTCTCATAAGCATTATGTAACACATGGAAAAAGGGAAGTAGTACAGTAAATATGTCTGGCTGCTGATCACTCAGCTAATAAAATCATTTATTCATGTTGGTAACTTTGTTTCCATGCAAATTTTATGACATAGGTTTTTATGGTGCTGTAGTCAGAGCTTTGTTACTTTCCTCTTAACCCTCCTGTTATGTTGCGGGTCAAATTGACCCACGAACATAACTGCTTTAAATGAGACAAATATTTGATATGAAGAAATGAACATAACAGGGCCCACAAAACCTGTCAGCAGTAGAGAGGGGTTTGGTTAAAAAATGCGCTATTTCACAGTGATTCGTAGTTCATTCAACTGATTTTATTGTCTTTGTTGTAGAGTGTGACAGTTGAGATAATTCCTTACAGTGTTCCTAGAAGCTGGAACAGGATGCACATTTTTCTCTTTTTATTCGCGTTGTAGCTGCTGCTGCCTTTACGTTAATCTGACGAGATTCAGCTCAGCGATGTAGCTAGGTCTAAACTACCGAGAGTGCTGCTCTGACCTTTAGGTTAAAGTGACCCAGTTGCTTTTTCAGACATGAGACTTTTGAGGTTTCCTGTGCTCTGACGCCTGCACTCATTTAGGACAAGTTATTGAAGGCCTGTTGCGCGACAACAGATACGCCAGAATGTACCTTTGGTTAGCCTTTAACAACATCCTTGTACATCTTTGTATTCAGTACTGATTCTGAGGCAACATAAACCCTCCTCCTCAGGCGAGGATTATTTATGAGCAGCAAATCGGACATAATAACCTGGTGGAGATGGGATTGTTGGCCTAAAATATGAAGCCTAAAATTCTTGAGTGGCTCTGGCAATATCTGAACTTTGTTTGAAGTTGACCAAAGTTTGTCAGATTACAGAAGGAGAGGTCTCTGAGCAAAACCAGCTTCTTAGGTGAAACATCATGTTGAATCTCAGGCAGGACAAGCATGCAGTTCTCCTTTAACTAAGGCACTTATTATGTTCATACCTCAGCTCGAGGCAGCAAGAGCTTTCTTGTATACATCAACCAAGATTCTCTCCTGAACTCACAAGGTGTCATTATCTTTACCTGTCAAACAGTTTTGCACGTCAGCATAAAACACTATATGTCAGAATGTTCCCCAGAAACGACTTTTTAATGCTGATGTAACAAAGTCTCATTACACTGACATTTATACAGGCCAATCAACTGTGACTGAACAAGCAGCAGCTGTGGGTATACACCATGTGCACACATGGGTCTGTTATGCATTAGGTGATAAAGTGGGAGAGCAAACATATTTTCAGTATTTAGAAAGGTCATTCAGCCAGTACAGATTACAGCTAAACACCAGTTATGTGAAACGTACAGCAGGATTAAAAACCTCACCCCTGCCTTGTGAGCCTTTAACCCCTTCTACTCCTGTATACACTGAGCTAAGAGCGTTAAATTTCATCCACAGGTCCGTTTTGTAGTGTGTTGGTGGAGAGACTTGGCTGCCGAACAACGGTGATGTTGGGTGGAGTTCTGAGTGGACTTGGAATGGCTGCCAGCTCATTTACGCAGTCCATCGCCCAGCTCTACGTAACAGCAGGAGTTATTACAGGTTAGCAAACATTCAAGAGATTTATCATCCCAGCTGACACTGGGCAAGAGGCGGGGCCCACCCTGAACAGGTCGCCAGTCTATCACAGGGTGGCCTCGTCATTAAAACAAAACCCAACAGGGCAAAGATCACCACAGCTCATTAATTTACGTTAAAACAGCAGATCAATGTTGACCTGTGATGTCTTTTTTGATACTGGTGTTGATGGTTTGGTTTTCGCTTTCAGATACATTTATTTTAACTGTTAAAAAATGTCTCATGGTCCGACTGCTCATGTTTCTTGCCTCATCTGACTTTATTTCAGTGATGTCGATGTTTGCGAATAACCTGATGTGCAGAATCTTATCATTACATAAGCCAAATTAGCCAAAATGTGCAAAAATAGGACTTGAGGTGTCATAAAACTGACTTACCTTTTAAAACAGAGTTCTGTTCAGAATACCTCATATTGGACTGTGTAAGATTTTCCCCAGAACTCCACATCTGCAGTATCCTCTATAAATACTACACAGCATTTTTTAAAACCAGTTAACACAATGCTGTCTGTGATGATGAACTGACTGTCTCCTTGCTTTCTTACAGGACTTGGTTTCTGCTTCAGCTTCCAACCAGCTGTGACAATCCTGGGACACTACTTTGTGCGTCGTCGTGTGTTTGCCAACGCCATGTCCTCCACAGGTACAGCCCTGGGCCTGTGCATTCTGCCCTTCCTGAGTAACTATCTTCACACAGAGTTTGGGTGGAGAGGAAGTTTCCTTGTTTTAGGAGCCGTCCTGCTTAACTGCTGCGTGTGTGGAGCAGTGATGAGGCCACTCCAGCCCTCCAGGCGTCGCGGCCAGCCGCTGATGACCCACAGTCTCCCTTCACCAGAGGAGCAAAATGTGAAGAAGGAAAAAGGGAGGATGAGGACAATACAGAGCTGCGTGGTGGCTTTCCTGAGCAAACACATGGCCTTCGATCAGCTCTGCAACAACCAGCGTTACTGTATGTATTCCATAGGAATCACCTGGATGATGCTTGGTTTTGTGGTGTGCTTGGTGTTTCTGGTTCCTTACGCCACAGCGAACGGCATGGAGCAGGGCCAGGCCGCGCTGCTGCTCTCTATCCTGGGTATTGTTAACATTGTGGTGCGGCCACCCATTGGCCTCATCTTCAACATGTCCTGGTTCAAAGGACGACATGTGTATGTGTTCGCTTCAGCCGTGCTGGTCAGCGGGCTCAGTAACAGTATCTGCTGCCTTGGGCCCAGCTTCACTGTCCTGCTGAGTTTTGTGATGGTCTTTGGGCTGTCCATGAGTGTGGCAGGCTCCCTGATGTTCACTGTACTCATGGATATCGTGGATATGAGCCGCTTTCCTTCAGCCCTGGGCCTGCTCTCTATCATGGAGAGCATCACGCTGCTCATCGGGCCTCCGCTTGCAGGTAATGTAAATACAGAGCACGGAGAGTGAGACTGAGATGATGAGAATGACACACTCTCACTAAAATCAACAGTTTCTAAACTGTTGTGCAAGATAGAATTTGCCTCATCATGATTTTACAGGCAGCAGGCAGTTTGAACTTTTAGGTATTTATGAACCCTGGATGTAGAAATAATCTAACTGGTGGAGTCAAACCTCACCAGGTGAAAAACATATTGTATGTGCTGTTTCCCAGTTCTATTCTACATATAGCAGTAATAGTATAAATCAACTGTCATACTTTTTTTTTCTGTTACTTTTCTGATTTCTGTCTGATGAAGACAATGCTCTACACACACAGAAGGACATCACTGAAACTGTAGCCACTGCTAATTACACTTCACAAAAAGAAAACTATTGTCCAGAGATGCAGAACTATCCACATCATCTTGGAGCTGTCTCACCACCTGCAGTTTTCTTTTGTTTTTCATTCATGAGCGGCTCCTTCGTTCCTTTAGTGCATCACATTGCACAACAATAGTGTAGACAAGGAGAAATCAATCCAGCCGATCCAAATAAGTCAGTTCAGGAGCTGTTGTGCACTTTCACCTGCTTTGGGACATGTTTCTTCTAGTGTGTCTAGAAAGGGCAGCACAGCTTCTGCTCGAAGCCGTTACTGAAAATAACAGCATGTTCTCAGTCAGTTTGGCCGGTACAGAGAGAACAAACTGTACAAAAAGTCTGTGCGTCATTTTGGAAGAGTGGCGTTTAGCAGCGGAGGCTGCCTCTGTCTCGGATGACAGATTCTCCCCCTGTTTATCTGACGGGTTATATGGCCGGGCAGCGATGCAGCCAAGTCACAACAGGGTCACTTCACACATACAGGAAGGTTGCTCACATACTGTATAACTAGAAAGTGGTTTGGTTATCAACATAGCGTGCACATGGGTTGCTTATACATGCATGAAAACTGAAGAGGAATCATTTTTTAAAAGTGGCAATGTTTTGTTTTATGAGTCTCTAATTTTCTAATAATTTCCTCTGATGCTTTTTAGAAGTAACGTTTTAATTTGGCACCGATTGTCAAGGAAGAGATGAGGTTCAGAGTTTAGCTAGTTGTGTTGAGTTTATGTACAGCTGTTAATTTTCAGAGGAATTTTCATGAAACAGTTTGGTTAACCAAAAACATTGTTGTTGTTTGTTATAACTTTATTCTTCATATATGTTAGAGTGGGTATTTGCCTGTAGACAAATTTCATATTTTTTGCAGCCAACCTTCTGTACATTAACAAAAATTCTTTCTAGGTCAGAGGCTCCCAGAGGTTCCCAGATGTTTGGGGTTGTGAACCCTTAAAATGAGTGAATGCAAACCTGCCCCTCATTATGTCCGAACCATGACAAGCTTAACCAAAAACTTATTTTCCCCTCATTTCATTTGAATAATTTTCAAGGTGAATTTCTGTAGTAATTAACCCAAAAAAAAAGCAGAAGTTGCATTTTGCTGAAGCAGAAATACGGTTTTTTCCTCCTGCTTTCCCTCCATGCTAATCATATCTTGACTGTACAAATTTGTCTGTGAACCCTCACTGGGGTCTAGGCCCTCATGTTGGGAACCACTGCTCTATGGCTGTCAGTCTGTTAGAGTTAATAACTGGAATTGCACCATTTTCCATATAATTAGTACCAAATTATACTGTCCTTTTCGGAAACGCTTTTGCTGAATTTGTAATCTGCGTATTTCTATGAAATTACAGGAAAATGTGGGACCTGGAAATAAAAGATGAAAGATAAACTGCTAATGTTTCCACTGATTTTTCTTGTTGCAGGAACCCTGGTTGACAGGACGGGCGATTACTTCTATGTCTTCATTGCCTGCAGTGCTGTTGTGGCCTCCTCTGCCATATTCCTCATGGCTTCATTTTACTGGCTGGATAAAAAAGACAGGAAGTCAAAACAGGGTCAGATATCCACGCTGCCCGACCCAGCAAGACCAGCTGTCGACGGAGCTCCAGGCTGTCACTATAGCAGCGTGCCAACAGAGGGAGACCAGGACAAGGCCTCGGCTAACAGGGCAGAGAGTAGCAGCAGCATCTAAACCTGCTCAGCCTGCGTGTCAACCTTAACACATATTACACTCTTGCTTAGACAGTTTGCAAGTGATTCCTTTTGCTTGCATCAGCTTGCTTGGTGCACCAGACAATAAGAACCTCCTGTACACCATAAAAGTCACACTAAATACTAAGAAGAATTTGCACTGCTTGGCCAAGATTGGACACTTGATCTTATATACCAAAATGAACAGCTGTGCACTTACAGCTACAGTGTGATTGTACTGTAAAATGCTGCTGATCTTATCTGTGATCTCACAATCTATCATAGGATATAAATAGAGTGCATCTCACTTCCTCAAGCCAAGAAACATACCTGATCCTTTGTCAACAAAATCTGTGTCTTTTCTAGATGTTTGCTGGAGTTGTGGTTTTAATGGTCCCGTGGTATATGATGAACCTACAAACACAGAGGACGGGCCTGAGTAGGTGAAATGCTGTGGAGCGATATGTGCATTTCCACAGGGAATTTCCTGGTACTTTTCCTTCCCAAGACCTAAAGTCCAAGAACTTCCCCTGGGGGAGAAGCCCCTTGAGCACCTTGTGATTTGGATTTCAACAAATATTGTATCAGAAGTGTTACGGCCGACAGGCAGTGTGGTTTTAAGAATGGTGTGTCTACAATGCTGTGCTGTATTTGTGTCATTGACTTTCAGCACTGCAGGCCTCGCAAAATCCAAAATTAGCTCAAAAACCAAAATTAGCTACATTTTAGCACGGTCGAATTACCCCAACGGAGGCACCAGGGAAAATGAGCTGGTGGTTCCCACTCACCCCATCCCTCCCGTTCTCTGTGCATTGTGTGTCTGCCCATCACAGACAGGTCACACAGGAGGCTGCACATTGCAGCTTCATCATATCACGTCTGGCCTGATAATCACTGTGAATTGCCTTTTTAAAATTTTTTTTTATTTTACTTAGTTCAGCCTGTTTTCCTGTGTCACTACAGAGCAATGTGTACGTCAGCACAGAAGATGTGGTAGCAGTTCATCAGAGCACTTGGTGATTTTCACAAAAAAATTAAAAAATACATTGATTTAGGATTTGTTATTTATGAAAGCTGGTTTGCAATGATCTATACAGGTGTGTCTATGTCATCCAGCCTTTTTTGTGGCCATTTTCTGTTCCTATTGTTCTTGGATGTAGCTGGATATCAAAGACAGATGCAGTCACTAGTCTTAATCCCGCCTACAAAGGTCCATTTTCTTTGACCAGCACAAACAGCCATCACCGGGCACAGCAGCAGACCTACTGTATGTGGAGTGTAGAGTGGAGTGTAGCCGTTGTGATTAGATGTTGCTTATTTCAAAACAAATATGCACTTTATCAGAACACAGTAAACCAGGGGCATTGTAGCCTCTCAAATCTGGCTACAAATATAGAATTGTGTTTAAAAAGCTCCGTAATCTCCTTAAAGCAGCTGGGCTTTGTAGGTGTTAACAAATATAACTCAAACCAGAGGAAACAATGCATCTGTTGGGGACTATTTTGAGCAGCATATGAATCCACATTTGGTCTTTACTTAGTATTTGTAATAATAAGGAGGGTGTGTGTGGGACTGAGTCCGCATGAACTACAGTGTGTGTGTGTTCATGGTGATGAAGTAACATGTCACCCAGTGCAGCAGTGTGATCACTGAGGAGTTTTAATAGTTTCTAAAACATATCAGACTGTAGTACACGCTCACTACCTGATGTTAGTATGTTTCATGGAATTTGTTGGTGAAAATATATAATATCACCGCACTTAACTGTTAATTATCAGTGGCTGTTACAGGCCTTTAATAACTTGGAAGAGAAAATGATATAATGCTTGTTTTCAAGATCTTTTTGACATATTCATTATCTTTGAAGTAGAAAAATGATTTTTGTACAACCTGGCTGTTGTGAGGGCATTAAACACAGCATGCTGAACATAGTACACCCATGTTGATGAGTGTGGGTTGCTATAGATAATTGAAACCTGATATAAAAAGTTGTTCTCCATTCAGTGTCACACATAGAAAACAATTACTGTAATATGAATTAATTATGTTTTTCTTTTCATATGCTTTGCTTTCCCTAATGGAACAGTGCCTTTATATAGAGCTGGTGTGTTTTTAAAAGCTCATCTACCACCGTGAGATCATATCAGACCCTAGAACAAGATGATTTCACATACATATGCCAACTTGTCAGTGATTTGAAACATTTCATAGGCACAAGGTCAGACCGGTCAAAGACAAGTTTGATTATACATGCAGAGTTTAGCTTCCGTTCTATTCAGAGATTTATCTTTTGATAAATGAACAGTGAGACCATCACACTGCCTGTAGGCATTTGAACACAGCTGTGTTCAGATGTGACTGAACATTAAATTTACATTTCAGGTATAAGCTGAAATGCTTTGTTAGAGGTTTTTAGAGGCTTGTCTTACTTTGGGCCAAATCATACCTTTATTATAAATTCTTTATTTATACATTTTGAAAATGGTTAGAAAAAAATAAATTTTTGAACATCAGAGATGTCTTTGTTGTGTTTTTTGGGGGTTGGGGGGTGGATCTAAATATTGCTCACTGGCATACATGCTTGGGTTATAACAGTGTAAAACATTAACATTGGCTTGACCACAGTCCGATAAGCTACACAAAGGAGTATTGGATGCATTTACAAAAAAAATTCTTTACTTGTACAGGAGGAAAGATTTAAAGAATGAAGACTGTGATCATTTGACAAATTTAAAAAGCTGGTACAATTAGGTGTTTGACATTTTTACATTAAAATGACTTAAAGCATGATTAATCAATCAATTTCCTGTCAATCCACTAATCATTTAATCTCTATTTGTATATACTGTTAATCTATAACAACGAGCTCTTTAAATGTCTTGTATGTTGAATATTAATTTGTAAAGTAGCTATAGCTGGAGTTAAAAAGTGCATTTCTTTATTAAAAGTAGCCTAGTTTAGAAGATGTACTATATTGCCAAAAGTATTCACTCACCCATCCAAATCATTGAATTCAGGTGTTCCAACCACTTCCATGGTTACAGGTGCATATACTCAAGCACCTAGGTATGCAGACTGCTTCTACAAACATTTGTGAAAGAATGGGTCGCTCTCAGGAGCTCAGTGAACTCCAGCATGGTACCGTGATAGGATGCCACCTGTGCAATAAGTCCAGTTGTGAAATTTCCTCGCTACTAAATATTCCACAGTCAACTGTTGTATTATAACAAAGTGGAAGTGATTGGGAATGACAGCAACTCAGCCACGAAGTGGTAGGTCACATAAAATCATCAATGGTTGTTTTTCAGGAGTTGGGCTTGGCCCCTTAGTTCCAGTGAAAGGAACTCTTAATGCTTCAACATACCAAGACATTTTGGACAATTTCATGCTCCCAACTTTGTGGGAACAGTTTGGGGATGGCTCATTCCTGTTCCAACATGTCTATGCACCAATGCATAAAGCAAGGTCCATAAAGACATGGATGAGTGAATTTGGTCTTCCCAGAAGAGTTGAGGTTGTTGTAGCTGCAAAGGGTGGGCCAACAACATATTAAACCTTATGGATTAAGAATCAGTTGTTAGTGAAGTTCATTTGCATGTGAAGGCAGACGAACGAATACTTTTAGCAATGTAGTATGTCATAAACTGGAAATGCTCAAGTTGCCCAAAGTACAGTTTTGCACTTAATTACATTCTGCCGTTGCTTACGGATACCCAAAAAATTAGAAGATTAAAATTATGGTGGGTATTTGGTGTTTGCTCCTGGATTGTGATTGGAATATTTTCACATCCACCCCTACCCTCCTGACTCCTTACCAGTCGGTGGCGGTAATGCACCAATTCGTTATTTGCCAAATGCCACTAAACCTCAAAACTTCAGAAGAAGAAGCAGGAGCGGAAGACGAAGAAGAAGAAGGGTGTGAATGGCCCCCTTTAGTGGCCATAATGTGACATAACGAGCGACTTGTATCTGTATATAAAAATGGAAGGCTCCGTTTTCAAAACCTCTTTACATTTAACAGTAAAAACAAAATTAACTGAAACAGGGCTAATGCTTGATGTGCTGTGTAGCATATTATTGTTTCACAGAGGGACGGAGGTTTTGACCTGCGTGACATCGTACGTCAGCAAACGAAACCAAAAGTAAACCGTCTAGCAGTTAGCTAGGTGTGGTCTGTGGCGGAAAACACGGTAAGTTACGTTATCCAAAGTTAGGCGTTAAAACCCCAAGTTCATAAATAATGGGTCACAAGTAGACATGAACTGAGTCAGATGGGGGCGAACGGGAGTAACGCCTGGAGGCTGTTGTTGCTGTATTGCCTTTGTGTATGGTACTTGTTATGGTTCATTTGTATAACAGTGATATTACAGATAATAGTACGTACAGCTAGTGAAGTCATACAGTGGATATAGTGAACCACATGTGCATCTGCACTTTGAGCGTTTGTCCTCAGGGAGGTATTTTATACAAAACTGCATTGACTCTTCATGCCTCTTTCACAAAATCAATCATGCATCCATGCATGCAGCTGAATGTTGTAGCTGGTGGAGGTCTACTCTGTATGGTGTGGAAACACATTTAGGTTTAACAACTTGATCATAATTATACTTTGAAAACGGCCTGATAAATATAATGAAGATAAAAGTATACTGTTTCTGGTAGATGTTTAAAGAGTAGCATTAAAAAAAACGGAAGTACCTCAGAACTGTATTTGAGTACATACACTTGGTGACCACTAGGATTTCTCATTTAGTCACTGTATAACAGCACTATCTTTTGTCCTAGGATCACATTCAGCCTCTTGCTGTCTGAGCGTCCACCAAAAGAAAATGAGGGAAGTGGCAGTATGTGGGTTATTCATCCTTCTTTTTGACGCAGTGCTGTGTTTGGCACTGTGGGCTGGACTGGTGATCCTGAAGTGCTCCAGCTGTGGTGGACTGGTAGGTGTGTGGGCTTTTGGGGCATTAAAATGGGCCGTTCTCCATGTTTTCACCTCTCTCCTGACTGATGGAAAGCCCCGGGTGGAGATCTGCAGGTTGGTAGCACTGCTCTGCCTTCTGTTTCCTGTGTTCGAAAGTGGACGGATGCTTATGGCGCCTCACACAGGACCACCTACTGACCTCAACATGCTGCTCCTGGGTCCTGTGTCTTCGTCACTGGCTTGTGTAGTTTGGGAAAAGGTCCTCTGTGGTGATGGAAAGATGAAAGAGGACACCGAGCTGGGTACCAGACGGCTGCTGATGAGGATGTTGACATACTTCAGACCAGACTCCCTGTACCTGTTTGCAGCTTTTAGCTTCCTCATATTGGGTGTTGTCTGTAAGTGTGAAATATTGACATTCTACATGTGGTACACCTGCTTGGTTTTCTCAATGTGAACAAATCTTTGCAAAGCCCTAAACCAAAAGTGTGTGGTCTTACCTCAGACTGTCCTACCCTGTCTGTTGCACTCAGTCCAGAGTCCGAAAGTTCTTACCGAAGACACAAATCAAAGGCTCAGTAGTGTCCAGATGAACACTGTAGACTTCAGCAAGTAGCAGCAAATATTGTGTTTGTTAGGGGATATTTTCAGCCCTGGTGCCTGGGTGAGTACTTGCAGCACCAAGACAGTTTGGAGGACTGACTCAGAATAAACTAGCGCTGAAATAATAATGGTGATCAAAGTGGTCTTGACATCTTAGAGGTTTTTAAACTGAACGACTGTATGTGATTGTCATGTGAGATGCACGCACCTGTTGGAAGGTTTAGTGATTGCTGTTTAAAGAATCTCTGCATGATCATATCGCAAATATATGCAGCCTACAGTTCCTCTTTATTTAACTTTAGAGCCTTTTAAATAGAAGAGTTGCAACACTGAGGCGTCAAAAACAGCAGTGGGTCACGTCATTCCATGATTCAGATGCAGTGTTTTCTGTAGGGACTAGTGAGATTTATCACCAAGTTTCTACTTTTACTGAGTTGAACAGCTTTGCAGACTGATTCAGTGTTCTGCTGTAGATAGCACAGCTAGTTAGCTTGGTAGCTAATTATTGAAATGACCCAATATTTCAGGGAGACGAGTCAAAAAGTTGGTAAAATGTGTATAAATGTTTTGACACGTCGCTAACTTAAAATGTCACGAGTTTAATTATTGCATTTTGATTTGAACTTCTTACATTAGAGGATAGCAGCCAAGTCCTTATAGAGTCGGTGGAGAGGTCATCACTCTCCTTCTTAATCCACTCTGTTTAATCTGTGGCATTCATCTTTCCTAACAGGTGATACCTTCATCCCACTTTATCAGGGACGGGTAATCGATATGTTAAGAGGTGAAGTGCTGCAAAGCAGCTTTGGCTATACAGTTGGACAGCTTGCACTTCTCTCTTTTGGAAGGTAAAGAAACAAAACTGCTGCTATATTTCTGTGCCTTTTCTCATTCCTACTAGCAACATAATTACCGAATTGTGATCTGTTTCAGTGAGTTTTAAAATACACTTATTTTCAACTTCCCCATCTAAACAGTGCTGTGTTCTCTGGCTTGCGGGGAGGCACATTTATGTGGACCTTGGCCAGACTGAACAACAGACTGAAGTGTCTGCTGTTTCACACCTTCCTGCAGCAGGAGATACACTTCTTTGAGGAGAACAAGGCAGGTGAGAAGAGCAGACCATATAAACATCTGACATGCCAGGGATTTGCTCCCATTTAGACAAAAGACCATTAGTGAATTTTAACATCAGTGTTTGCTGACAAGGTCTGGTTCAGTCGGTGCCCCAGTTCATCTCAGAGGTGCTCGATGTGGCCGACGTCAGGGCCCTGTGCTGACCAGTCAGGTTCTTCCACAGCCAAAATGGGAAGAATATTCCTTTATGGACCTGGCTTTGTCATGTTGAAATGTAAAAGGGACGAATACAGACTGACACAAAGTTCAAACCACACAGATGTCAATAGTACTGTATGCTGTTGTATTAATTCTTCTTTGGAGCTAAGTGCTGCACCACAAACCATGAAAACAGCACAAAATCCAATCAGAAGAAAACAAAAGGCAGTACAGGGGTGTGCACACTGGCATTAGCTTAAACACTGTACCTTTTCACAGAGACTAAGCTGCCAGTTAATATTCTTGGACTTCTCTTCGTTTCATTGCCCCAGGCCATCTTTCCTCCCGCCTCCACTCTGACGTGGACAAGATGGGTCGGACAGTAGCGCTGAACGCCAACGCGCTGGTTCGCAGCATTGTCAAGACCTGCCTCATGCTGAAAGTGATGTTAGGCCTGTCCTGGGAGTTCACTGTGCTCACCTGCATAGAGATGCCACTCTTGGCAGTACTGCAGAACAGATACATCATCTGGTACAAGGTACATGTAACCACATTGGTCCTGAACACACCCACGAATGTGAAATCAGCCACTGCTCTGGTGTCAATATCAAAAGCTATTTATGAGTGGAGGGGAACTCATTTTACCAGATGCACAGTATTGAAATGCAACACTGGATGTGTTGAGATGAAGGATACTCATATCCAGGCAAACTGGAAAAGAACACAACACTGTTTGCTTGCAGCTGAAAATGCTTAAATAGAAGGTACAAACAGAACAGGAGCTTGTTTCTCCAAATAAAAACCTCTGTGACCTTCAATGACAAATACAGTCAGGGAAAAAATTATTTGAACCTCAGCTGATTTTGTAAGTTTGCCCACTAACAAAGAAATGATCAGACTACAATTTCAATGGTAGGTTTATTTGAACAGTGACAGACACAACAATAACAAAAAAATCCAGAAAAATGCATTACAAAAAAAGTTATAAAATAATTTCCATTTTCATGAATGAAATAAGTATTTGATCTTCTATCAATCAGCAAGATCTCTGGCTCCCAGGTGTATTTTATACAGGTAACAAGCTGACATTGGGAGCCCTCTCAGCTCGTTACCTGTATAAAAGAGACCTGTCAACAGAAGCAATCAATCAATCCAGATTCCAAACTCTTCATGGCTAAGACCAAAGAGCTTTCCAAGGAAGTCAGGGACAAGATTGTGGACCTACACAAGGCTGGAATGGGCTACAAGACCATCGCCAAGCAGCTGGGTGAGAAGGTGACAACAGTTGGTGCGATTATTCGCAAATGGAAGAAACATAAATTAACTACCAATCTCCCTCGGTCTGGAGCTCCATGCAAGATCTCACCTCGTGGAGTTTCAATGATAATGAGAACGGTGAGGAATCAGCCCAGAACTACTCGGGAGGAACTTGTCAATGATCTCAAGGCAGCTGGGACGATAGTCACCAAAAAAACAGTTGGTGACATACTACGCCGTGAAGGACTGAAATCCTGCTGTGCCCGAAAGGTCCCCCTGCTCAAGAAAGCACATCTACAGGCCCGTTTGAAGTTTGCCACTGAACATCTGACTGATGCCGAGGAAGACTGGGTGAAAGTGTTGTGGTCAGATGAGACCAAAATCGACCTCTTTGGCATCAACTCAATTCGCCGTGTTTGGAGGAGGAGGAATGCTGCCTATGACTCCAAAAACACAATCCCCACCATCAAATATGGAGGTGGAAACATTATCCTTTGGGGGTGCTTTTCTGCCAAGGGGACAGGACAATTGCACCGCATCAAAGGGAGGATGGATGGGGCCATGTACCGTCAAATCTTGGGTGAGAACCTCCTTCCCTCAGTCAGGGCATTGAAAATGGGTCATGGTTGGGTATTCCAGCATGACAATGATCCAAAACACACAGCCAAGGCAACAAATGATTGGCTCAAGAAGAAGCATATGAAGGTCATGGAGTGGCATAGTCAGTCTCCAGACCTTAATCCCATAGAAAATCTGTGGAGGGAGCTGAAGGTTCGAGCTGCCAAACATCAGCCATGAAACATTAATGACTTGGAGAGGGTCTGCAAAGAGGAGTGGGTCAAAATCCCCCCTGAGATGTGTGCAAACCTTGTGTCCAACTACAAGAAACGTCTGACCTCTGTGATTGCCAACAAAGGTTTTGCCACCAAGTACTAAAGCACGTTTTGCAAAGGGATCAAATACTTATTTGTTGGGTTTTCCCTATGTAATAATATTGATAACAGTAAGGTCTGGACCTTACTTTGTAAAGTGTCCTGAGATGACTTTTGTTGTGATTTGGCGCTATACAAATAAAATTTGATTTGATTTGACTTATTTCATTCATGAAAATGCAAATTACTTTATAACTTTTTTTTATAATGCATTTTTCTGGATTTTTTTGTTATTGTTGTGTCTCTCACTGTTCACATAAACCTACCATTGACATTGTAGACTGATCATTTCTTTGTTAGTAGGCAAACTTACAAAATCAGCTGGGGTTCAAATAATTTTTTCCCTGACTGTATAAGATTTGTGTTTTACTGCAATATATTATTTCATCTCCAAACTGGAGACACTGACATTAAAAGAATGAAACTGTGGGCTCTGCTGATGTGAAGGAGGCAGCTGTAGTTTACCACCATTCATGACTGGTTTTGTTGTCAGTGTGCAAAATTTATGTTTTTATATTATGTTTACCAGGTGTATGTCAAATTCTGGTTGTATTTACGTGCTATATAAATAAAAGCTGAGTTGAGAGTATTCCTTGTCAAACAGGAGCTCAAAGATAAGATGCAAGACTGTCACGCTGAGAACAAAGAGCTGGCATTCCAGACAATCAGCGGGATTCGTACAGTCCGCAGCTGTAACGGAGAGAGAGAAGAACTGCGGCGGTACAATGAGGCTCTGGACCAGATGTACAAGGTCAAGAGACGTTCAGGCATCTACAGTGCAGTCTTCCTCTTAGTACGAAGGGTAAGAACACAGTGGTGCACATTCTGTGACCCTTATATGTTGACTTTTACCAAACAAGCTCATTGTATGGCCATAATGTATGGAGGCTTCTTTCCACCAAAACACCACAAGTAAGGTGCGTTTGTAGTCAGTCAATACCATTACAAGATAGTAAATTGGTTTATTTTTGATTTGTTCAGTCAAAACTATAAGATGTTGGCTCCAAATGTTTTACTAAAAGTTATAACTTTTTGATTTACTGCTTGTAAATGATGCAAAAGTTTGATGTTCTATTTTAAACTTATGAGATACCAAGTTATAATCTTGCATTAGCCACAATCATAAGCTGAATCTTTTGCAAAAATTTAAATTCACAAAGTCAACATTATGACTTAGGAGGCCAAAATATCAACCTAGTATCTCATAAGTTTGACTTAGTGAGAGTATGTTTATTCTTGTCTTTGAGTTGTTTCTTTATGCTCCTGTCAGGAATGTGCTTCTGTGCTGCTGCAGTGATTTAAAGAGAAATTCTTTGACCCACAAATTTTAGGAGCACGTGTCATTTTTGTAATTGCATGTACGTGCTTATATACAGCTCTTTTTGTTACGTTCAACTCTAGTTTTATTAATGCCTCTCATTATACCATTTCTTTTTAGCTGGTCACTCTGGGGATAAAGATCCTGATGCTGGTACGGGCCCGTAGTCTCATCTCATCTGGTCACCTCAGCATCGGCAGTCTCATGTCCTTTTTTTTGTACCAGAAGCCCATGTCAAGCAATTTACAGGTGAGCTAAGGTACAAATATTCACACTGCAGAATCTCTTATGTATTTGAGTTGTAAAATCTGCATAATGCCTCTTGATGATTGTTTTTGCCACAGGAGATTTTGCATGGCTATGGAGACACGGTGTCCACTGTTGGAGTCATCTCCAAAGTGTTCAATTATCTTGACCGGACACCACAGTGTCAGAAGCCGGGCAAATTGGCTCCTGAGAAGCTGCAGGGAAGAGTTGTTTTCCAAAATGTCACCTTCACATATCCCTCAGCTCCTCAAGAAAAACCCGCTCTGAAGGTAACTGTTTGACAGTAAAAGTCTGATGCGGCATCCCACGGTTTTGTGGTGTTAACCCTGTCATCAGTACATGATTAACACATTCTTTCCAGTCAGTTTCAATGGAACTGCATCCAGGCAAGATGACGGCACTGGTGGGTCCCTCTGGCAGTGGAAAGACCTCCTGTGTCAGTCTCATGAAGAGGCTGTATGAACCTAAACATGGGCAGATCCTGCTAGATGGAAGGCCGCTGCACGATTATAAACACAAATACCTCCATCAAAAGGTACAATTGGCTCGGCAGCAAAATACAAAACCAAGACAGAGTTCATCGTCCTACATGTTTCTTAAATGCAGGCTCATGGTGCCAGTGTTGCACTAATGTTGCATTCAAGTCATATCCTCCAGATGCTACCAGACAGTGCTGGTAGTATCTTGGTCTTTGTGTTGGGTGTTTTTGTTGTAGACTCATTACCATAAATATTGAGGTTCTTCTATCGCTGGGTGTTCCACAGGACCTACAGATGTCAATCAGCACTGCACTAATACTAGTGCGTGTTTTAATTCCATGTATTTATTTAGATGGCCCTGGTATCCCAGAATCCTGTGCTGTTTTCTGGTTCACTGCTGTACAACATTGGATACGGCCTGAGAGACTGCACCATCGAGAAGGTGAAAGAAGCTGCAGTGAGGGTCAACGCAGATGCCTTCATCTCCGAAATGGAGAACAAATATGACACAGGTAGAGTGAACGACTACCCTCTGCCACATACAGAGATTATATTTAATGCTAGGGGTGCACCGAAATTTCGGCCACCGAAAATTTTCGGCCGAAAAGGCCATTTTTATTTCGGGCCGGAATAAAAAAAACTCGCCGAAAATGCCCCGCCCCGCCCATCATATCCTGGCGCAGCACAGGTTAGGTTTCACTCACGCTGGAGCTGTTATATCACGAGTCTCCCATGAACGACAAAGCATGTCAGCGGTGAGAGACTCTTCAGTGCAGCATCTCATGTGCTTAATGACAAGAGGAACCGTCTCTCCGGCCAAAAAGCGGAGCAACTTTTGTTCCTAAAGAAAAACCTGCCACGTTTGTTGAACTAAACAGCAGTCCAATTTTGCATAGTGCATAGTTGCATTAAAATTTGTGTAGCACTGCTAGCTACCTAGGCTATGTTGTTTACAGTTTGTTTGGAAGTTCTATTGCTGTTTTTGCACCGTTTTGCATTGTTTTGCACAGCAATTTAAAATGTTTGAGTGTTACATAAAACTTGAATAATATTATTTGGTATTGTTAAAAATATTTTAGATTTTCATTTCAGATTCATCAAATTCAAGTAATTATATATATATATACACACACACAATTATAGAGTAAGCGTGTTTTAAAAATTTGAAGTTTTTAAAAGAAGCCATTTTCGGTTTCATTTCGGTTTTCGGACAAATGCATCCTAAATTTTCGGTTTCGGTTTCGGCCCAGAATTTTCATTTCGGTGCATCGCTATTTAATGCTATATAAATAAGTTACCATAGATGGTCATCAGTTGTGATAAAGCATTATTTTTTTACAAGATGCGTTTAAAACCATGAATGTTTCCCTTTTGTTAGAGTTGTATGTGGTGTTAAGAGTTTTGAGTGACATTAACTGTGAAGTCTGTTGTTTTACTCTAGTTTGTTCTGTCTATTTAATGTCACAAAGGTACTTTTAGTATATACTAGTGGAGATGATAAATGGCTGCTCAGAAAGTATGTATGTGAAATGTGTATTCAGAAAGTACACATCAGTAAATGTACAATAGAACTGGTCCAGCAACATCACAGACAACCTCTGCAGAGTTCTTGACAGGTCCTGTAAGTGAAACTAGAACAAGACGAATGACTGGAAAGTCAGATATAAGCTTTTAACCGACGTGGTCATGGCAGATGTGATGTGATGAGGGTAAAGTCTTTGTTTATTGTTTGTGTTATCCGACTGGGGTCCACTGATCACGGGCCACGACATGGAGCCAAACCTTTTTCCCCTCCCTTAATTATAAGTCTCTTGCTTTACCACTTGAAAGAAAAATACTAAAAGGAGCTTTTCAGATTTAAATTAAAACAGATTTAAATATCTTAGTATTTTCTTTTCACCCAATTTATGCGAGCTAATAAATCTTGTCTTGCCCAAAGCAACAGAATTAACCCAGTTCTGCAGAGATGGAATAATTTACTAATGTCTTTATTAGGTTGGGTGGCAATTATTAAAATGGATATACTACCATGTTTACTGTATCCAAACCACATGTTACTTATATCTACTACTATAAAGTGGTTTTAATCAATACATAGTGCGATTAGTAGATTTATCTGGAAAAACAAGCGACCTAAAATGAAATTAGAAAAATGTAAGACTCCCATGAGAAAGGGTGGCTGAGATCTGCTACTGAGTGGGTTAAAAATGGTTGGCTCTCCTTTGCAGATTAGGAAAGTATTGCTTTGACAATGTTCCACTGTTAGATCTCCCTTTTTGTATTGTAGAAATTCAGAAGCAACGGGAAGATAATTTTGTAGTTAGAAATATATGCAGGTCTTTGTACTGTATGTGCAGATATTTTGGATTTAGACAGTTTTCTTTTTTATTACCATTGCTAATAATCCTGACTTGTAATATACTTGTACAGATATGGGGTTTAGATAGTGGAATACAGTATGTTAAATCTTTGTCTGTTTGGTCATCATGAGAGTGTTTTGTAATTGTACACAGTTTCAAGGTGATCCTTTGACAAGAAACTGTTTTGATGGTGGGACATGTCATTTGTGATCAGCTGAAAGACTGATGGATATTGGTGGAACAAGCAATGGCTATGATGGACCGTGAATTCATTTAAAACTACATGTGTTATTAATGTAATTTGTGTTATTTGATCATTCCTGTGTTTTAACTTTACTGTGATCTTCAGTCGGATCATCTCATAATTCCATCTCTCAGTAATGTGCTTTGTTTATTTGTTGTTCTTAAGTCTGCTCTGTGCACAAGTTGACTTGAAACAGTCTAAATGTCATCTGTTCACCCACAGATATAGGAGAAGGTGGTGGAAAACTGTCTGATGGACAGAAGCAGTCCATCGCCATCATTAGAGCTCTGGTTCGAGAGCCGCAGGTCATCCTGCTGGACGAGGCTACCAGCAAACTGGATGTCGAAGCTCAGCATGTAGTAAGTAAAACAAGGCATAGTGATTGGATCTAATGATAGGTGTAAATGCAGTCTGCACGGTTTGGCCACATTCATAAGAGAAAAATTCCACCCAGCGTGTTGAAAGTTCACCAGACTCATCATGCAGCTGCAGGAGAGTCCAGATATTGTCTAGTCAGTCTGATGGCATCGCAGAGGAAATCGGACATTCCATCACTAATCATTAACAGGGACTGTGTGGAGAGGGAGTCCACATTGAGGAGGATTTCACCTGCAGTGTGAATACCTCTGAGCTGCTGAAAAAGGCTCAGCAGTGACTGCACTTTCTGAGAGTGCTCAGGAAGGATAACATCAGTCAGAGACTGCTGGTTTATCGGTGCTCAATAGAGAGCATATTAACGTACTGCATGTGTGTGGTACACCAGCTGTACAGGGGCTCAGAGGAACTCGCTCCAGAGAGTCATTAACACGGCCCAGAAGATTGTCGGCTGCCCTCTCTCTACATTGGAAGAACTACACTGTTCTCGCTGTCTCAAAAAAGCACAGAATATCATAAGAGACACCTTTCATCATGGCCACCATTTGTTTGAACTGTTGCCATCAGGCAGACAGTACAGATCAATTAAAACTAGGACAAGAAGATTCAAAAACAGCGATAATTAGACTCAATTCAGCTAAACTAACCTGATGTGAGATATTCCCACCAAGGAAATAATCACTCATAGTTTTTAGCGCAACAAGGTTTGTGTAATTGATGAGTGTGAGAGTTTGTTTTTTATTATTTATTATGTGCTTTTTATTATTGTGTGTGTATATTAGTGTGCGATTACCACACCAACTGGATGGCTTTTTAATCTCGTTGTACTGGATACAATGACAATAAAGATATTGTTCTGGCACAACCGGGGTGCAGAGAGAACAGCAGAACTACAGGGAACTAATGTTCATCGACAACAGAAAAACTGCTGTTTTCAGTCCCTCAACTATGAACATGTCCTGATTTTCTCTTTTTACTGTTATTATAAATAGAATATTTTGGGGGTTTTGATTGTTGGTCAGACAAAACAAGACGGTGAGAGATGTCACCCCAGGCTCCATTATCTACATCACTTATTCCTGAAGAGGGAAAACAACCAGTCACTCCTGTGGGCAATTTAGAGTCACCAGTCAACCTAAACTGCATGTCTTTGGACTGTGGCAGGAACCTGGAGAGACTCGATGATTCCTCTGTAGAACTGTATCAGCAGCTCCTGGGGCAGGTCGAACTTCCTGAGCTGGCGCAGGAAGTACATCCTCTGCTGTGCCTTTTTGGTGATGGTCCTGATGTTGGATGTCCACTTCAGGTCCTGGGAGACAGTGGAGCCCAGGAACTTGTAGGACTTTACTGCTGATACAGGGCTGCCAAGTATGGTGAGGGGGGGTAAGGTGGGAGGGCTCTTCCTGAAGTCCACTGTCATTTCCACTGTTTTGAGCGTGTTCAGCTCCAGGTTGTTGCGGCTACACCACAGGACCAGCTGCTCAACCTCCCGTCTGTAGGCTGACTCGTCACCGTCTCGGATGAGACCAATGACCGTTGTATCATCAGCAAACTTTAGGAGCTTGACAGAGGGGTCCTTTGAAATGTAGTCATTGGTGTAGAGTGAAAACAGCAGAGGGGAGAGCACACATCCCTGGGGGGCGCCTGTGCTTATTGTCCAGGTGCTGGATGTGGTTTTCCCCAGCCTCACCTGCTGCTTCCTGTCTGTCAGAAAGCTAGTAATCCACTGACAGGTGGGGGCAGGCACAGTGAGCTGGGTCAGTTTGGAGTGGAGGATGTGTTGAACGCCGAGCTGATGTCCACAAACAGGACCCATGCATAGGCCCCTGGGGAGTCGAGGTGTTGCAGGATGTAATGCAGTGCCATGTTGACTGCATCGTCCATCGAACTGTTTGCCCAGTAGGCAAATTGCAAGGGGTACAGCAGAGGGTCTATGGTGTCCTTCAGGGGGGCCAACACCAGTCTTTCAAAGGACTTCACAACTACAGATGTCAGGGCGACAGGTCAGTAGTCGTTCAGTCCACCGGGATGATGGTAGAGCGTTTGAAGCAGGAGGGGACTTCACACAGCTCCAGTAACCTGTTGAAGATGAATGTGAAGATGGGGGCCAGCTGATCAGCACACACTTTCAGGCAGGAGGGGGGTCACGCCATAAAGCTGTGTCAATGGAGTCTTCATCTTGATATAAGATGCTTATTCCTCCAGACAGATTGCAGCTTAATATGAGCTTTATTCTGCTCTGAAGTATTTTGTGGCTGTTTTTTTTTTGTGTCTCAGGTCCTCCAGGAGGTTCTGGCTTGTGGTCGGACAGTGTTGGTGGTGGCCCATCAGCTGAAGACTGTGGAGAAGGCAGATCACATCATCTTCATAGAGGAGGGAGCAGTCGTAGAGGAGGGAACACACCAAGAACTCATGGCCAAGAAAGGACGTTACTATCGTTTGAAAGAGGAACTGTTCTCTTAATGCAGTTGGGGAAAAAAAAAACTCAGCAGGTGCGTGTTGCGGGTGTCGTGCCTTAACTTCAGTTCTACTAGTGTGTTTAAAAATCGGGTGACTGAAATGTGCAAACGTGCCTTCATTCTTCATGGCTACCCGCCTAACTACTGTTATAAAGTGCAAGATTATTTCTTAGTGCAAAAAGCATCAACAGTATATGAAGACCTAGTATGGTCTGCATGTTTCATGTGTGTGACGTATGTTTTTACCTGTCTGGGTTCAAGGATTTCATATTTTTAATGGAGTACAGTGATGTTAGAATGAGACAACTGTCATAGAGAGATGACTTGTCGCCATTTACTTTCGCTGTTAACGTTTTATCTTGTTGTGCTTTGTTACTTCTACATTGGCATGATACTTTTATAATTCAGTTTTAGAAATTTGTGTTTTATTGTGTCTAGGCTTGATTATTTTAGTATTCCACCTGGTATATTTGTTTTTACTGTACAGCACTCTGGGCTCCTTAGAGTTGTAGAGTGCTATATAAATAAAGATTATTGTTTTTGTAGCAGTTTGGTGCATTGATGTATTTTTTAAACCTTATTCATTAAGTGTTTTGTTTTTGCCAGTAACAAACGATTGTTCTTGTGATGTTTGCAACACCTCTTCCTCTCTGTTTTCAGTTTGTTGAAAGGAGTGTTCAAAGACTGCAGTAACATCACAGTTAAGGCAAAGACTTAAGGTTGGAAATTCTAATGGAGAAAATCTGTTGGATTAAATTGATAATATTTACAATAGTCTGTAAACAGGACACTTCAAATGCAAAAATATCTGCCCCCTAGATAATCTTCACCAGTGAGCACCACTTCCTTTGAGAAAGATTTAAACATACACTTTCCATGCCAGAAAAACACATCTCACTTCATTGCTAAAGGATTTAATTTTCCTGTTCATAATGGCCTTATTTTTATTATCCTACCTTTGACTAACTTGGAAAATGAGTCGGGCTTAAGAAATGGAATAATGTCTTTTGGTGAGGTAGAAAATGAAAGGAACAGTGGTATGAAGGGAACTGTTTTTGCCAGGATTGCTCATGAACCATATACATCAGTAGCTCCCTATAGAGACAAATGTTAATGTCTTAGCTGAGAAAGGGATGGATAAAATAAAATATCTGACCAGTGAAGGTGCATGATATCCAAAATCAAGAGGGGACACATGTTTACAGGTTATACTGTATTGTGCTTACTGTTCTGACTCTGAAAGCTACCTACTATATTAAGATATCAAATCAATGTAGTGGAGTACAAAGTACAATATTTGTCTCTAAAATGTAGTGGTCATAGTGTGTAGTAGCAGAAAATGAAAATACTCAAAGAACAGATGCGTCAAAATTGTACTCTAGTATAGTAAAAGTCCTTAGGTTACATTACGTCACTGAATGGCGAATTTTTAAAAGTCTATATTTCGTGTTTTCGAGGGAGACAAAGAAGGCACCGACATCCCCACGAGTCATATTTGGAACCTAATATGTTAAATAATTTTTCTTAATTAAACCCTGGGAGGCTAGTGTCTGTCGTCTCCATGGTAACTACCACAGCATCCATCCTGGGCGACCGAGTGGAGGAAACGCCACGTCTGCCTGCGTTTGTTTAGTGAAGAGAGTCCTGTCTTCATGAAAAAAGAAAAGAAATGTGCTTTATTGTTAAAGGTGCAAAGCAATGTGAATGTAACGTAACGCAACAGAAAGTATAGATGATTTAGTGGACAAAGTAGCCATAATTAAATCTACATCTACCTTGAAGCCATGTACTTAAATAAACAATCTGGATCCTTGGCCACTGCTTTTGTTAAGTAAACAATTTGTACATCCCTGCTGGCGGAGTACTTGCCACGCTTCTCCCTGCAGAAGAGTTTCCTCACTTCCTGTGTGTTTACTACGGCGGCGTCGCCCCGAGGAGTCCACCCCCCCTCCCCGCCCGTAAAGTAACTGTGCTTTCTGTGTAGCCACGTAACCTCAGTCCGTCGGTAACTTTATTTGTCATGTTTAAAATATGCTTTGCGTGTCACGTGTACGCGGTTTGTCATTGTGCAGTACTTTTTCCATATTCGGTACTATACAGCTTCGAGGTCTTGTATTGAATGTCCACGGCGGTTGTGCTGGTGTTTACGCAGTTTGGTTTGGGTGTGTGAACCAGCTCAACATCGCTAATATGATCTTGAAGGCGTGGAAACAAACTTCAGCATGTTTTGCAGCCAACAAAAAAGAGAAACAGATGAGTCTTGTGCAGATGCTCATACTGCTACGGCGGTGTTTTGTGTTTTGCAGCTGGTCTGTAGCAACAGCTGGAACGACAAAGTCATTGATTCCCGTCAAAACTAAATCCTGTTGTCACAGTCAGCAGTGGAGGAAAAATACATTTGCTTGAGAGTTGAAGTGAAATATTTTTGTTTTTTGATACCTAATACTGAACATAAATCACCGACCTCTGATATTTATCAGGTGACCTTTGACCCAGACCACCAGACTAGGACCACTGGCTTAAACTACCTGACTCTATAAAGTAGATAAGCTAACTCCACCTGAACCAAAAATTTCCACTTGTACACTGTTGCATCTTTATCTCTTAAGGTAAATTATTAACAGTCACAGACAGAAATGAGACCTGAGTACATCTCTACTCACAAGTCGTACCTCTTTGACTCCAGACTTGACTCAGACTCATGAACATTGAAAGTCTGTCATAATTTATATAGGAGGACCATTTTGGTTTTTATGACCATCTGGGACCCTTTAACGCATCACAGAGTGTGTCTGCCAACTGCAGACATGTGACGCCCCAAACTACACACAACAAGTTGTGCCAACTTCTGCTGGCGACTCAAGATAAGACGCTAACGACCACATCCAACTTAAAGACTCACCCAGAGAGTCAGTGTTGCTGATAGACTGCTGCTTAACTCAGTCAGTCTGGAGTTGGTGTGAAGTTACGTTAATATCACTGCTGCTGTTGTAATGGCAGGTGTGTTGTTAAGCTCTATGTCTTGGTTTAGAGTAATTTGCATGGACGGATTATGACACAACAGGCCCCTGGCTACTGGCTCTGGGGCCTATACCAGTAGCGCATTAAGTAATCCATCCATGTTATAACATAACATAACATAACTTTACTGCATTGTGAGACTGTCTGCCAGCACAAACGTATTGTTAACTGTGTTTCTGGTGATGCAGAAACAGGCGATTCTACTTTTACTTAAAAGGACTTTTATTGGGGTATTTGTGCATCGCTGTATTGGTAGTTTCACTTAATGAAAGGGTTCAAGTAGTTCTCCACCTCTGATGCTGGTAACGTTTTTTTTTTCTCTTCTGGCATTTGAAAGCTCAGGACTAAAGTTATTGAGCGCTTTAGGAGCCTTCATTTTAGGCACAGGTATAATAGTAGAGGCTTTCCAAGGCACAGGAACTTTATGTAGCTTGAGGTACAACTTAGAGAGAAAGATGAAAATGTCCACCAGTTGTTCAGCACAGTGCTTGAGTATATGTCCCCCAGTGCCGTCAGGACCCGGACCTTTCCTCACTTTAACCCCTCTAAAGAGCTTCAATACCACATCTCTGTCGACCTGTACACAGTTATGTTGTAGATATCTCCAGAAACAGACATTTCCTCACTAAAATTGTGAATCACTTATATAAAATATTTACTTGACAGGAACTGTGGGAACAGACCTAGGGGGAGGCGTGCAATAAAAGGGAACAATGCAGCTCATTCAGTCAAATCAGCAAAATTTAGCTTGCGTGACTCTGGTTCATTGTTTTATTTTGTGTGAAAGGTGAAATGACGACCAGAGCGGTTTGAATCCCGACCTAAACCTGTATTATTTTACATCTCACCTGTGGGTTCAGTGGGTCATGTTACCGGTTATTAGAACCACTCTGCTCAACAGGGATTTCGTTAAATCAGCTCTGTACTCCTTCATTAACATATTAACCAAGAGTATGCCTGCAGTTTGTGGTAACCCTGCATTTCTGGCTTTAAATGTCCAGGTTATTGAATTGATCATTGATATCTCATTTACTTTAACGATCCAGACAAACCTAATTCAGATTTTTCTTCACTTTGTCAGAGGAAGATAAAAGACCTGCAACTCATTTTTGTTATATGATAGTACACTTTTTTAAATAAAATGTTTTGTTTTTTTCTAGCAGTAAAAATCTCAAAGATGGAAAATTTAATCTCATAGGGGG